TTAGAGCAGAGTCACAAACAAAAGAAGCCACCAAAAGACGGAGTGCCTGCAGTAAGAAACAAGATTGTTCAACATATGAAAGAGATTATAAAACTGTCACAAATAGATCAACCACTTTCAACACATGCTAGCTACTTGGGCTTTAACCATGTTGAATAACAACCGTGGTCAAGCAGCAACACTTTATTGAATATTCATCATAAACCAACTGCCTAAAATTTCAAACAAAATAGAAACTCACAGCTAAGGATTCAACCAGAGTAGTTTAAGGTAAATTACAAATGATAAACATAAATGATATATAACTCACCTCCTTCTTGCCCACTTGAGCAACTTGTACCTCAATGTCAGTGACAGGTACGTTCAATTCGCATAAAATTGACAGGCCAAGAATTGCAGAGATCGGACTTACATTGAGACTGTCAGTTATCATGAACATCGCCGGTCCTTTAAAAAATCCAAGAGCGTTATCATCTTTGTTACAGTGGGATTTGGGGTCTACGAATTCAACTGATTTCGCTTGTTTATTAGAGTGGATAAGGGTGGTATCAACAGCCAGCCGATACGAGGCTTCCTCTATTCCCAAAGGACGGTTCTTATAGCCAAATCCAGGGAGAAGCTTGGGACTCACTAGCATTTTCTTATGGTGATTTGACTTCAAGCATTGCTCATCAAGATCCTGGACACTTTTGTACAACTGACCAATGCATCCTTTCATAGAGTTATCCTGCATCTGTTTCACAACCTGAGTGGAAGAGTCAAGAAACTGAAGAGTAAATTAACAAACTCCTCCCCTGCTTCTGCATAACAAACTTCCTAGATTTGCTAACTATGAGCTTAATAGAAATCTTTTCTTCTTCCTCATTCGTGGCGTCTCCTAACATTCGAGATTCAACATGCTTCAGCAGAGTTTCAGTCAAAGGCATCTTTGATACTAATGAGCACATAAGCAACTACAAAACCTGAAGAAAGTGAAAAGATCATCAGAAACTAGCATTTCATTTCTTACTAGAAAATTAACTTTGGTGGTATAACAGATCATTTACCTCATCAACTCCTACATTGACTGTCAACTCCTCAATACTATTCCATCCCGTGAATCCGAGGTTCGTAACTATAGAAGAGCTTGTACAAGTAAATGGGGGCATCACTTGTAATTTGTAAATCATCACTAATTATAAATAAATCTGGCTGGACCTTTTACAAAGACCTCACCATCTTCAGCACCAGACGCTTACAACGATGACAACGAACCGTTTGGTAATAACTAAAAACAAGACTGTTCCGAAAATTTCTTCAATGTGGATTAGAACCGCGTGGGTTCGCAATCATCAAATTTCAGTTTCAGGTTGTCCAAGAGATATTCTGTCCTATTGCAGGGACGTAACAGCATGGCTCTACATTCTTCAGTTCGGAAAAGCTGTGAGTCAGAGCTCTCCACACTTCCATATATGTTGTCCATGCAACCAATTCCCAAGGGTTGGGCGCCCGCCTAGGCGGCCTGGGCTGGTCTAGGTGGCCTAGGCTGGTCTAGCCTTGTCTAGGCGGGTCTAGGCGGACGAAGGGCGGTTGAATCGCGCAGGAGCCGCTGCTTGTTAGGAAGAAAGACGGAGAGAAAGAGAGAGAGAGATCGAGACAGAGAGATGAAATCGAAACAGAGAGAGGAAGGAGAAGGGACGCTGGGAAGAAGAAGATATCTGACCTAATGTTTTTTTTTTTTTTTGGTCTGAATCATGAGGTGATCTTGGATGGGCCCCAACTATGGGTGGCACCTTTAAGCCTTAACCACAACACAGACTAATCCCCACTCACACCGGGTCGGCCCGTAAGGGGTAAAGTGTTGGCCAAAGTGGTGACTCCGTACGAGAATAGGGATCGAACCCCTGACCTCTCTTAAGGAATGAGAGTGCCGAACCACTCACACCAACCACCTTGGTTTATCTGACCTAATTTTTAATATAACTAATGATCGGTTCATAATTGTATATCATTTTGTACCCTTCTAGCTTATGATTTGGTTATGTTATTGAGTTAAACTTGTGCTTTTAATCCATTTTCTGTTTTGATAAGTCCATAATTTCATACACTTGCTTGCCTTCTTTACTTAGTGATTTTGCTTAGTTTCTCTTTATTTTGAGTCACTTACCTCTATTTGTGTGTTTTGTAGGTTAAGATAGCAAGAGATCACATTTGATGCAATCCATGCATGTTAAGGGCTGATTGGCATAAGAGCAAGAGCTTAAAGACAAAACCAAAGTTGGGCCACACTCCTTGTCAGTCCAGTTTCGTAAGTCACCTTGCAGGTCTCATTTCAGCAATCTGCACAACTCGGATGAGGAGACATTCTTCATAGAAGTTGTTCAATTGGGTGTCTAGTATAACATATCCAAAATGCAGCCCAATGGAACATATGTGGAGTCCTTAGCCCGTCCAACACTGAACCATGCTCAGGAGGATTTGCAGCTGCCAGCTTTGAGCCTTGGCTCCTCCTTTAAGCCATGTGCCTCACCCATGCTGCAACTGACTTTGGATCCAACATAATGAGTGAAGTGGGGAGGCATTCCAGCTATGAAAGTCTAAAGGATCAAGTTGGTACATGATGGAGCTATTAAAGAGAAAGCATGTGCATGCATGTAAAGCAAAGAAATGAAATGAAGTCAATTCCAGAACTCACCTAATTGGAGTGGTTGGTGTATTCCATACTTCTAGCGATTGGATTTCACTCAAAACTCACCAAATGACTCCTCCCACCGTATTATGATGTTGCCCAAGTTTTGGGCTCGATCCGAAATCAATAGGTGTTCCAAATTGGACAATTCAAGTTCAACGACAGATACATGCTTGGTTGTTTAAATTGTTCTTCTATGCTTAATGGGTTCCTAATGCTTAATTTTAGGTTAGACAACAAATGATCAAATTAGGGAATTAGGAACACAAGGTTTTGACCAAACACCATGGCTTAATCATACTTTAGCTAGAATCAATCCATTAATCTAATTGAACTTGGGAACTTATTTGCTTGAGTTATTTCCTTTTTACTTGTTTTATTTATTTTCTTTTTCATTTCTGTTTTATGTAGTGGAAATGAATTGGATCATTCAATCACCAATCCTCGTGGGATCGACCTCGCACTTACATATGCTATACTACCAAACGGCTCGTGCACTTGCGAGTATCACAAGTTGAGGATGCAGCTGAATCCATTTTGGTGCAGCTGAATCGAAGCAACAACTAACGGGTTGGGTTTTGTAAAAAGGCCTTAAACATTGTATTAAAATGGGCCTATTTTTACTTTTTTTTTGGTTGCAGTTTGTAAAAATATCAAGGTTACTGAAAATACAAAAATAAAAATAAGATAATATCAAGGTTGGAAAATATTAAAGTTTTCTTTTTATATATCTTATTATTTTGCATGATTTTGGTATAAATTTATAATTTATAATACAAAATAATTATTAAAAAAAAGGGTGCCTATGCCCCGAATACTCCTATAGGCTCTAGGCCCATGCCTGCCACCCACCTACTGCCTATAGATTTTTCGAACATATATTAAAAAGAGACAAGCATATATATGAAAATGGTGTATCATAAAATACAAATGGGACATATAAAAAATATTTATTAAACAATTTTTTTTTTTTAAAAAAACCCCTAGCAAAGTAGCACGGCTATACTGTTTTTTTTAAAAGGGTAATGATTTCCCCACTCCAATTTTATCCACTTACACTCCTTTTTTAGTTATAAAATGGAGTGGGAAAATCACCACTCTTTAAAAAAACATTTGAAAAAAATGGAGTACAGCCACACGGCTATACTATTTATAAAAAACAGAGGAATAGCACCTCCGATGTGTCAAAACCCATATAGCCACGCGGCTATACTATTTTTTAATTAAAAAATAACCAAAGTATAGCCGCTCGGCTATACTATTTATAAATAAAAGGGAAGTCCTTGGCTTCTACTGTTTAAAGGATTTTGGTATAGTAGGCAGCAGCAGAAGCCACTGTGCATGGTATTTGGAAGAAGATTTCGTCCCCATATCATCCATAATGAACTCGAAACTTATTACAACTACTTCTCCTTTCTTTTATTTATTTTTCTTTAGTTTTTTTACTTTAGTTAACTTTCATCAATTTTGTGTAAATCAGGTAGGCCTCCGCTTAGTTAGTTTTTCTAACGAGATTGATGAACTTAATTGCTAATTGCAACTACAGCAACAACTGATGAGGTCGATTGAATTATATATAGAAATAATACAATTCTTAGAAGAAACAAAAGCCGGCATTAATAACGTTCATTAAGTATTCTGCATAAAGAGACCTCTACTAGCAATCTTCATCTATGAGATAACCAAGCTCTCTTTATGAACTTTTCTAGATTCAGCTGCCTAATGAAGACATTAGTTAGAGCAGAGCCGCTCAGAAAAGCAGCCAACAAAAGACGCAAAGCCTACAATATCAGTAACAACACAAGAATCATCAACAGTTAAAAGGGGGGAGGGTGCAATGAAAGGGGCAACCTGAATTCTATAAACGTAGTTCAATGAAAATTATAAAAAATAACTCACCTCCTTCTTGCCAACCTCAACAGTTTCCTCCTTTATGTCAGTCAAAGTTACCTTAAGTAGATTTAAAACAAGAAAGCCAAGGGCAGGAGATATTGGAGTTATGAACAGATAATCAGTTACCATGAACACTGTCGAACCTTTCAAATACCCTTGAGGACTTTTATCATGCTTCAATTTGAGTGGAACTGTCACAGCGTTAACTAGTGGGAAAAGAAAATTAGGCATTGATATACCGGTTCTTCTGTGCAGGAAAGGAAAAGAGCTGTTTCAATATGCAAGAAATTAATGGACAATTATAATGGAAAATGCCAAACAACTCAACATCTTAAGTACATTTAGAAAAGAAAAAAAGACATGGAATTCAAAGTTCAAACCTTTTTGGGTAAAACTGCCGAAGAAAAGGATGAAGCTAAAGGAAACACAAAGAGAGATCTTGGACACTATTTTACAACTGATCAATGCATCCTTTGAAAGAGGCATCCCTCAAATGCTTTAATATGAAACCAAGTGGAACAGTCAAAAAACTGAGGGGCAAATTAGCAAAATCCTCCCCTGCTTCGGCATAATAAACAATATCCTTTGAGACGCTAACTGTCAGCTTAACAACAATCTTTTCTTCTTCCTCCTCATTCATTATGTCTCCAAGCAGCAGAGATTCAATACTTGTCAATATTAGTTGATCAAGGCTCAAATTCGGATTTGGAATTGGTGCAGGATCAAGCTTCAGTAGAGTTTTAGATAGAGGTTTCTTTGATACTAATGAGCGCAGAAGCAACTTCAAAACCTGGAAAAAAAGACCATGAGGTCAAAAACCACAAACACTACAGTTGTACTAAAAGAAAAATAAAACAATTGGCAAACAGCATTCAATTACCTCATGAGCTCCTATATTCAAAGTCTTTTGTTCAGTAGTGCTATTCTCATTCATGGCTCCAAGCTTTGTAAATACAAGATTGCTTGCCACCAATAACGGGGACATCACACGTAAATCATCAGTCACTATGAACCCAGCTGATTCTTTTACAAAGATGCCCCCACCTTGCTCAGCAGAGGATGAAACTGAAAGTCCGCACTTCACATTCATGCATCTTCCACATTGACACAGAACACCTTTGTAATGACTTTTTGACTTATTTTCGAAGGAGCATTGCCAACTGTCACACAGAAAGTACCATGTTGGCTCATCATTGTCAATTCTCAGTTTGAGGTTTTTGCAATGAGATTCAGCCCCATTGTGGGACATAGCAACATCTCTCTACATGCTTCAGTCTGGAAATCCTGAACATCGATGCTGGTGTACAAATAGTTCATGCAACCTATTGCTAGCGGTACTGAATGTTTACTGGCACGCCTGACAATTGTTCCCATTGGTATTGTCAAGAAACTCAAGAGAACATCAATAAAATCTTTGTCAGACTCTACGAAGATAATTTTGTTGCTCCCCTTGTCCACCACAGCCTTCAAGCTCATAATATTCTTCACAGTTTTATCAGCCATTGATACTGTAAGAAAGTACAAAGCGGTAAGTTGTTTTCCTGCTTAGACATGAAAGGACTTCAAAATACAATTCAAGTATGGCGAAAGTGAGACAAAATTTTGCAGAATTAATAGCTTGAAAAACAGGTCAGAGCTTGAGCAGATAACAAGTATATGATTCAAATCTAAAACCAGCGACCAACATTTTTATCAACATGGCTAGTCTGATCCTGAGTTATGCAGTCCATGAGGAGATTTTGAATGAATAACCTTTTGGGAAAGCTTAGTGAAATTCACCAGTCTTTCTCAGTAAATTTGCAGGTCGGCTTCTCCATTTATGTTTTTAATCTTCTAATTAAAGTGAAATTAATATAACTAGTGGGAAAATAAAATTAGGCATTGATCGACAGGTTCTTCTGTGCAAGAAAGGAAAAGAGCTCTTTCAGTATGCAAGAAATTAATGGACAATTATAATGGAAAATGCCAAACAGCTCAACATCATAAGTACATTTAGAAAAGAAAAAGACATGTAATTCAAAGTTCAAACCTTTTTGGGTAAAACTGCCGAAGAAAAGGATGAAGCTAAAGAAAACACAAAGACTTAAATAAAGGGCCTGCATAAAGTAATATATGTAGAAAAAGATCATGAGTCTGGAAAGATATCAGGGGGAGGATCACTTGAGATGGAGTGCATGTTATGACCCTCCATCCATCCTTAACTTTTGAAAAGAGAAGCATTCATTACTTGACTAGGAAGAAACATCCTGCTTCACCGTAACCTGAAGATTCCAATCTCTTAAACTAAGAATAGCATTCATAAATAAGAATAATACAATTCCAAGAAGAGAAGAAAGCAAATAGCCTACATAAGATGCATCAGGTCAATCATAAAGCAAAATTCCATTAAAATATCAGAATAAAGAAACATCCACCTCCACTGGCACTTGAACCGGTGAGTAATATCCGTAGCATTGAGATTTAGAAACACATAATAAACCATATACTGGAGTTCCAGTAAGTAGAAACAGGAGAAGCATCATCATCTCTATACAGAGTTTATTGTTCTTGCACTGGCAGCCTATTGAAGACATCGGATAGAGCAGAGTCGCCAAGAAAAGAAGCCACCAAAAGACACAAAGCCTGAAACAATTAAAGGAATAGTGCCACGGCTATACTAGTTTTGACACGTGGGAAGCCTAGGCGCTAGATGGGTCTTTTTTTTTTCTATAAATAGTACAGCAGCGCTTACAAAAATAGTATAGCCGATCGGCTATACCTGTTTTGACATGTGGTCACCAAAGCGCTAGGTGAGTCTTTTTTTTTTCCCATAAATAGTATAGCCACGCGGATATACTCTCAGATATGTTTCAAAACAGTATAGCCTCACGGCGTTACTACGGTATTTTTTTAAAATACCGTAGCCACTTGGCTATACCTTTTTTGGACTTTTGTTTTAACTCAAGAGAACGAGTTAGATCAAAGGCAAACATACCCACAAAAAAGAAGAAGAAAAAATAGAACTCTCAAATTGATTTACCCTGAAATTTCTCTCTCTTCAATATCTGCATTGGATATGTTGAAACTAGCCAATTAATCTATATATATAAAGCAAAAGGCAGAGAATTGTGAAACATTCAAAATACCAGAAAATGCCCTTAGTTAATGCAAACATTAAGAATTGAAATTATTAATTAAATGAGGATAATATGGTAAATTCACACTTTTTCATATTTAAAAAAATTAAAATTAAAAGAAAATAAGATAATGGATCCTATTTTTATGGAACACAACTACCCATTATCTTTTTTAATTCTAAAATAAATTTAAATTTTTTATAAAAAAAACCTCTCGCAGGCGCGGAAGCGCATGCAGAGAGGCTAGTATTAATAAAGTATGAACTAATGCACCTAAGAGGGTACTTATATATATATATAATATATTTAAAATATGTATAGTGAAAATGCTAAATTCTTTATACGGGTAATAACTCTTGAAAAGTAAAAACATAAAAGGGTACAATAAAGACTCGGGTAATGGACTAATAGTAATGGATATGCTCTAAACTATCAATAAACAAAACTCTTGGAAAAACAATCTTTAAAAAAAAAAATCACAGTATCTGTGTAAGGAGTATAGCCGAGCGGCTATACTATTTATAAAAAAAGAAAAGAGGACCTACATGTCAAAAACAACATAGCCGCGCGGCTATACTATTTATTAAAAACATTTATAAAAAAAAGACCCTTCTAGTTGCATTAGTTTATACTTTATAGATATTAATTTGCTAGTTTCAATATATATACTTTATAAATTTAATTTTTTTTAAATATATTATTTTTATTCAATAATATGCGAAACTTATATGTATAATACATGAATTTTATGTGTATTATTGAAAATTTTGTAAAAAACCAAGTATATTAAACATGAAAAATACGTACGTACATATACATTACGAGTATTAAAATTGAAAATGCTAAATTCTTTATTTCGGGTAATAACTCTGGAAAAGTAAAAACTCAAAAGGGGACAATTAGGACTACGGTAATGGCCTAATTGTATGGATCATGCTCTAAACTTTCGATAAACAAAAATTGTAGAAAAACAATTTTTTTTTTTAAAGATCACAACATCTGTGTAAGAAGTATAGCCGCGCGTCTATACTCTTTATAAAAAAAACACTTTGAACCCCGTAAAGCCGCGCGGGTATACTCTTCTTTTTTAAAAAAAAAAAAATCCCGCATATAGCCGCATGGCGATACTATTTATATAAAAACATAATTTAGCCGGCCGGCTGTACTACGTTATTTTTTTATAAAAAATAGTATAGCCGATGGATTTCCACTGAGGACCTCCTACTTGCCAGAATTTACGGTATATTTTTCCCCCAGTAACACAGTTAGATACAAAGCAAGATGAAACCAAGACAGGGCACACAGATACAAAGCAATATCTCACAGCAATCCAACAATCATAAACGTTTCAAGCCGTATAACACAAAACATACAATAGTGTAGAGAACAATACATAAAGTAGAAAATGCATTACTCTGCAACACAAAATACATCCTCATCTTAAATTAGAAAATTAAGGCGTCCAAATCCTCGATTTGGCTTCCTAAGGAAGACACTGGTTAGAGCAAAATCACAAACAAAAAAAGCCACCAAAAGACAGAGTGCCTGTAGTAAGAAACAAGATTGATCAACATATGAAAGAGATTATAAAACTGTCACAAATAGATCAACCACTTTCAACACATGCTAGCTACTTGGGCTTTAACCATGTTGACTAACAACCGTGGTCAAGCAGCAACACTTTATTGAATATTCACCATAAACCAACTGCCTAAAATTTCAAACAAAATAGAAACTCACAGCTAAGGATTCAACCAGAGTAGTTTAAGGTAAATTACAAATGATAAACATAAATGATATATAACTCGCCTCCTTCTTGCCCACTTGAGCAACTTGTACCTCAATGTCAGTGACAGGTACGTTCAATTCGCATAAAATTGACAGGCCAAGAATTGCAGAGATCGGACTTACGTTGAGACACTGTCGGTTATCATAAACATCCCCGGTCCTTTCAAAAATCCAAGAGCGTTATCATCTTTGTTACAGTGGGATTTGGGGTCTACGAATTCAACTGAT